CAGAGCGGGGAACTTCAGCCCACAGATGATCATGTGGCTGGTCATCTCGCACCCACAAACTGAGCATACATGAGAGGTTACCAGAGACCTCGGAAACCCTTGGCTGCACTGTGACATTATTTACCACGATACCATTGCGGGCACAGACGTCTTCCTGGCTTAGGCTGGGAGGGGGACTGCACACGGGTGCCCATCAAGGCCCTCAGGAGGGGCGTCATAGGTACAGCTGGGGGCCTGCCAATTTATGCCTTTGCCTCATGGCTCTATTTTTAAACTGTATTCAGTGCTCTATAAGGAGTTTCATGGTAGAGACAAAGCATAACACATACTCACACTTGTAAACTACTTTTGTATTACATCCCCCTAGTCAAATTTTCTTATTTTCCTAAGTATTGTCCTCCACTACTACCCCCACATTGATGAGATGACAGATTATAGAACTTCAGAAATTCCAAAATAAAAATCATTTCACTCCAAGTTAAATATGGTCAAATTTTACACAAGCTTTCATTTTTACTATGCATAAACCTCAATAAAATTGGGCCCTAATTTTATAGCCAGGTTTCCCCCTCCTTAGGTAAGGGAACATCGTTCAACAAGCCTATTCCACTGCTCCTACTGCTTCAACAGACCACAGCTAGGCCTGCCTGCAGAACCAAAATTCATTGCTCATCTGATTCCATGCAGCTATTTTATCTGCCAATTTTGTAAATGCTTAAATGGTAAAGAAACTGCTCAAGGTCTTTGGTGAGAACCTTGTACAGTTCTTAGTTTTAAAAAGGCCAAATCTTGTTTTGAGAAGGTGCAGCACTTTTCTTTACACTTTGGTTTAGCCTTTCAAGCTCAATTAACATCAGTGGGATGACTGGATCCCTTTATTTACCACAGTTAAAGTAGATTCAAGTAACAGCTGTTTGCCAGTGCAGCAAGCCACTTCCCAGCACAAGTCCCTCTGGTCAAGGAAGAGGGCAGAGCCTGGAGATTTCCACAGCCCAATCCCACCTATCACTCCCCTAAAAGATCAGCAGGGTCCAAGAATTATTGTATTTTCCTAAAAATATTACATAATAAAACACTACCTTAAATATAGGGTATTCAATGTATGGTCAGGCAAGCAAATGAGACCAACTTCTTAGGGTTTGTGGACCGCTGTCAGAAGGATCTAGGAACCCAATCTCCATCTGTAACAAATCTGTGACCCTACAGACCAAGATCCCAAATGCATGACTTACAGGGGTCAGAAACAAAAAACCAACCAACCAACCAACCACACACTGAGAACCCAATACACAAGGCATACATTAAGCAAGCTGCTGAGAGCTGAGTCAAGATCCTCAGTGTGAAGCTTCTCCACTAACGAGCACCAGGAGCACACAGGCTGGAGCCCTGCCCCTGAAGGTTATTAGAAAAGCTTCGGTCCTGGTTAGCAATTGTACTGTCACAGGTTATGGACATCTGAGATCAGAGTAAGGCTGCAGTTTTGAGGATAGTAAGAACCTCTCCTGGTTTACAGTATGGGTGAAATGGGTACCCAGCACTGTGCTGTGGTACGCAATGTCAACTTCCAAAACACCTCCCGCCCTGTCCCCTACTGCTCCATGTCACAGGCAGACACAATTAATGGTAGCAGTATGGTTTATTAAGCTGTGCCTTAGTACAGGCGCTGGGGCTTGCCCATGGTGCTCTTGATGTACAAAGCTCGGACGTTCTGCCAGTTCTTTTTGAGTAGCGACACCAGGAAATTGACAGCTAAGTGGATGTTGTACACAAGCTCATCATCTGTCATCTTCACGTGGCCGACAGCCACTGCCAGACACAGCACCTGTGGGGAGAGGACGGTCACAGGTTGGTGGCTAGATGAGGGGAACATGGGAAGACTGGAAACACACACAAGGCAGGTGGCCCACCCTCTGGCCCCAGGCCAGGAAGATGGGGGCTATCTTACGTATCAGAGAAATGCAAACCGGGGCTCCTATTTAGAGAACGTGGGCAAGCTCCAGGACCCTCCCACCTGCTACCAGGGCTGAACCTATGCATCCCGCCAGACCTCCTTACCTTCTTCATCTGGAACTTAATTGTGGATTTGACTTCATCAACTTTGGCCACCATGTTCTCATTGTGGGTCAGCAAGGAAGGGAACTTGCCAGCCTTATTCAGGCCTGGGCCCAGGATTCGTGGGATCTGCTTGATCAGAGACTCTGAAGCCAAAAAGGCATCATACTTCTTGGCTGGTAAAGGGAGTAATGCATTGCATGCTTAGGGCCCTGAAAGGCTGACCTCTGAACAGGGCTCTGGAAACCAACCACCAAAGTGGTCCCTAACCAGCACTCTCCCCTACCCCCCACTGCCCTCTCCAGGTACCAAGTCTCTTGAATCACCTCCTCGCTCCAATGTAATCATCTCCACCCTTTGGACATTTACCAGTCCAACATTCACAGAAAACCTCGCATCAGAAGCCCAGGCTGACCCACATCCCATGCTGCAATTGAAAATTACACTTCGACAACTTTCTACTTTCTCACTACAACAACTGGGGTATCCTCTCCTACCTGTAAAATGTTTAGGGCACAGATTCAAAAGAAATTAAACTGGAGCTTAAAGTGGAAATTACAATTCAGAACACCAGCACTTGACTAGTCAACAGATCCCACTCACCTGTTTAGAAAGGACCATCACCCAGCTTCCCTCCCTTATAGTAAAACTCAATTCTCAAAGCAAATGTAAAGAGAGCTTTCCTAGCTCAAGTTTACCAACCACAGCACACCCTTTCGGTCACAATCCCACCCTCCTTATTTTAAAGTCCGTACGGCAGAAGTACCACTTTTCTACCACCTGTCTGTCCACACCGCATCCCCACACTCACCCAGCTTCTTGACCAGTTTCTTATTCTTGTTGAGTTTCTTCAGCGCCTCAATGTCCATGTGGGGGATGTCCACGGCCTTGGCCTCATCGCAGTGCTGCTGGTCCCCCAGAACACACACGGAGAACTTGGGACGGGGAGTGGACTTAAGCCTGCGGTTGTGGGGACAGGACAGGTCACGCTCAGCCCTGGGTCGCACGGCAGGTGAACGGGTCTGGGACCACGGCAGCCACTGAGCCTTACCCAGCGCGTCCACGTTCACCAACAACTAGTCTGGCTTCTCAAACTAGCCGGCGGGCTCGGCCAAGGCCTCCCCACGCCTCCCCTCTTGTTTTAAGACCCAGGGTGGGGGTCCGTCCAGCCGCGCCTGCACGGAGCAGGGCGTCTGAACTACCCGGGCACTTCAGTGCCACGCGTGCCTGACCCCCTCGGACACAACGGCAGCCTCGAGGCAAGAGCCTGACACCGGGGCACTGAGGGCTGGGTGGGGTCAGAACGGTGCCAACCTGACGGTGCCCGAGAAGCGTTTGTCCTTCTGGGGATCATAGTTCTTCAAGCTGATCTGCAACTCCACCGTCTCCAAAAACCTTAGAGAAAGTAACGAGTTAGTCAGGGGCCCGTCTCCCCAAGCCCCCAACCCCAGGGACTGCCCTCCCGCGGAGGCCCGCGCTTACTTCCGGCGCTTGCGCTGGTTCCCGTGCAGGACTTCCCGCACCGCCTCGTAGAGGGTGTCGCGGGAGACTTTGCTGCTGTGAGAGAGAATCAAGACCCGCGCTCAGGACTCGGGTGACGCGGACCAACACCCTCGACCTGGTGAAGTGCCTGAGACTTAGTGAATGGGGAGTTACGGACACCAGGTTAGAATATTTGGGTCCGAGAACCAGAAGCAGGCCCGGGAAAGGGGGACCGCCCCGGCGGCCTCGCTTGGCGCAAGAACTTGGTGCCGTAGGCGGACGACCGGCAAGATATGCCCCGCAGCGATGCAAGGGCAAGAATCCCCCAATCCCGTCCGTAGGGTCTCCTTCCCCACGGAGGCGCCTGGAGGCGTGGATGAGTACGGATAGCACCCAAAATATCACTCACCTCATGACTCCTTACGCCGCAAAAGCCGGAAAAGGGACTAATTTAATTCGCGCATGCGCTCAAATAGGGATCTTGTTCTCGCGAGAAATGCCTTGTGGCTTCCCTCCTGAGTGCGGTCGGACACTTCATCCCCGCGAGCGCCGGAGTCTGCGGCCGCTGGAGGGCGCTGCAGCGCGTGGCACCGCTAGATCAGCTTCCAAACCACCCGAGACTCTGCGGTCCTGCATGCGCCGGGGCACGTTGAGACTCCATCCTCGTTTGCGGCAGCAGCTGCCGGGCCCGTAAGGAAGAGGCTAGGTCCCAGGGCTTGAGCTTCAGAAGTCACATATATTAGGCCGCTGAGAGGATGCAATTCCTGCACATTTGTCTTCAGACTTCCTCTGCCCACTTCCTCCTGCCTCCCGGCACATCTCCTGATCTCTGTCCCTCATCTTGCTCTAATATGGGGCTCCCAGCTTCCGGGGGAGTTGTGAGAAGGGACATGTCAATAAAAGTTGTGTTCTTGGCCTCTCGAAGCCTGCAATGAGGAAGAGCTGGAAAGGTACTTTACCCAACATTTGCTTCAGTAACATCTACCTGTGTTTACTGACCAAGACACCTAGCCAGGTGTTGTGGAAGGTGTAAAACAGACGCACCCACAGTATGGCACACCCTTTCTGCCTTTTCATGTTCTATAGGCCACATCCTCTTCTCAGCCCACAGTAACCCCAGGACACCTCTATCTGTACTCAAATGTCTTCTGCGGAAAAGCCTTCCCCAACTCCAGACCATGTCACTCCCACCTTCAAGCCCACCCCACCCTCTTGGTTGCTGCCCACCTCCCCTACTCAACAGACGCTAACAGTGTTGGGGTGAGTGGTATCACACATTATCTGGCTCACAGAATATGAATGAATAAACCTCAGAACTCTACCACCTTCCTCTACAGAACATTTCACTGGGGAAAAATGCCCCTTGTCACTAGGTAGGGTGGCGTGGTGGCAGGGGGTGCTGGTGAGTTGACTTTCAACAAACACCCAGAGTTAACAGTAATGCAGGGACTGCTTCTAGTAAGACGTCGTTGAATTTCTTGATTTTTATTAAATACCACTGAAAAATCATTATTCAAGTCTGAACAGTACAAAGGATCATAACACACACTGGAACACAGAGTTTTGTTCTGAGCACACGGGGCCCCCAGAGCATCCTCGTCTATTCTGGGTCTGCTGTGACCCTCCTGGGCTCACAGGAAAGTTTCTGAGGTAGAAGTGACAAGGAGTGAGCCAGGGTTGGCAGCCCTTGGAAATCGAGCCCCCTTAGCCTGGCACCTGCTGCCACTTGGGAGGTCAACATGGCCTCTCTGCCGCCTGGAACAGCAGGCAGGTGATGCCTGGGGTGGCCAGGCTCATCCTTTACCCCCAGAGGGGCTGAGGGCAGAAGTATCCTTCAGGAAGTTGGTGAGCAAACTCTAGAGCGGTCCCCTGGTGGAAGGTCAGGGGGCCAGATGTCTCAGCGCGGCCTGCAGGGACTTTCTCAGGAAAGTGGTGTTGAGCGATAGGGGCGCAGCCAGGCCCAGCCTCTGGGTCTCAGTGATCTGGGGAGAAGGAAGAACCATGTCAGGACTCCAGCAGCTGATCTCTCCCCTCCCATCCGACCCTGGGCTCCATTCAGAAAGGGGGGAAATCTAGGACTTAAGGACAATGGAGGGAAGCAATGACTCCCTGAGCAATTGAACTTTATTATTTCACTACAGTGAAGCAGTCTTTGGATTCAAGTAGACCTGGGTGCAAACTGCACAACTTATTAAGTCACCCATATTAATAACAACACAACTGGGTGCTTACTATGTGGCAGTACATTATGTGCATTAGTTCATAAAATCCTCACAGCCCTCCCAGTTACAGATGAGGAAACTGTGTTCAGAGACAGTCACTGCGACTGCCACCTTCCTTCTGGGCCACACTTTCTCTAACCTTTTGCTACAACCTCCTGATAGGTCTCAACCCTGTATCTTCACTCTCTAATCCCCACTCCTTGAAGAGGCTAGAGGTTTCTTTACAAAATGCAAACCACACCACGTCACCCCAGCTGAAGGCCCTGGGAGAACTCCTGGGGCCTCACATTGGAGGTCCTTCCAGGATCTACCCTAAGGGGTCCAGGAGCCTCCTGATATGTGTTCACAAGATGTGCATTCACGTATTCATTTTTCTTCTGGGAGGAGCTATAGCTTTTATCAATTCATCAAATGGGTCCATGACTCTCAAGACAAAGGTAAAGAGCCCACAGCCAGGAATACCTGGCCTTCAAGATAAAGTCAGCTCTGGCTGGTGTGGCTCAGTGGATTGAGTGCTGGCCTGTGAACCTAAGTAAGGGTCACCGGTTTGATTCCCAGTCAGGGCACATGCCTGGGTTGTAGGCCGGGTCCCCAGTATGGGATGCGAATGAGGCAACCACACAATGACGTTTCTCTCCCTCTCTTTCTACCTCCCTTCCCCTCGCTCTAAAAATAAATAAATAAATAAAATCTTAGGGGAAAAAAAAAGATCAAGTCCAAGCTCCTCACCATAACCTACAGGGCCCTTTGTAAGATGCTACCATGGCTTGGCAAGGTGACCTTGGGCAAGTTACTTTAACCATTCTGAGTCTCAATTTCTTTTTCTGTAAAATGCAGCTAATTTCTTCTCACAGTGCTAACTCATGTAAGAAACTAGCGAGTTAACATATGTAAAGGACTTAGAGCAGTGCCTGAGATGTAGCAGGAGCTATGCAAGCATTAGGTCTCGGTGTTTTAGCCCACCTCATCCCCCACCATTCTCGGCTCTCACGGCTTTAGGCCCAGCTACGACGAACCACCTGCAGACCCCTCGGACATTCACTGCCTACAGGTCACTTTGCCCTGAATGCCCTTTCCTCCATCTTCACCCTTAACTATGACCTTTTAAAAATCAGGAAGCCTGTTTCAATTCATAACCACGAACAAGGTTTAGTTGCCCCCTCTTCCTCTGTCACCAAAAGCCCTGTGCACACCTGTCACCTGGCTCCTACCAGATATTACAATGATTCGTTTATCATGTCTCTCCTCTCACTATCCCGGTGTTAGGGGAGGGGGTCAGGTCAAGGGTAGTGACGGCGATATAGTTGATTCCCCACTGTTGATTCCCCATATGGCATCTGGCCCACAGCGATGTTGGCTGAGTGAGTGAACTCTTAAGTAGTCTCATTCCGTAGTCCTGGGCTTGAACTTGTAGTTTCCTTGGCTAACATTCAAAGCTTTCTCCCTGGCAAACACATGTACACCCTCATGCAGGGTCAGAGCAGCAGGACCAGCGCTCATGGCCCTGTTGGCACTCACACTGGCCTGATACTTGGTCATCACCGTCAGCATGAGCTTGGCATAGGCCATGGACGTGGTGGCTGCCAGCCCCTCTTTGCAGAGCCTTTCCATCAACACACTGAACTTCTCGGGGGTCGTCTCCACCTGCACACGTTGGGAGTTAAGACAGTAGCACAAGAAAAGGCCTCGCATTTAATTCCCAGTCCCACCACTTAACTCGGTGTCCCTGTGCAGATCACTTAACCAGAGTAAGCCTCAGTTTCCACTGCTATAAAATGGGGCTCATAAAATCTAACTCTGAAGGCTGTGAAAAAGATTAAATGAGATAATGCACATACAGCTGGCACCTAGGTCTCAGAAGATCGTGGCAACCTTTGCAAAGGCTCAGATTAGAAGCAAGGAAGGCCAGGGATCCCTAGCCTGGCTTAGTGGTTACAGATACACAGGAGTAGTACTGCCAGCATAATAATAATAGCTCTTCATGATAATAACTTAATAAACATTATTACGTACCAGGCACACTCGAGCACTTTACACCAATTACCCCATTTAAACCTCACCACAGTCTTCTGTGGTGGGTGCTATTGTCATTTCCTTTAGTAGATGAGGAAGCTGAGGCCTAATGAGGCCTAAGCTATAAACAAATGCAGCAGAAGTTTCAGTACTGATATGGAAAAATTGTCAAAATATGTTAGGTGAATAAAGCAAAATACAGAGCTCCGAGCCTGCTGTTACCGTCTATGTAAAAAGCGGAGGAAGAGTGCGTTTATGCCTACATCCTTGTAGATACAGAGCGTCTCTGGGAGGGATCCCCTGAAACCAATAACACCGATTCACCCTGGGGAGGGGAATCTGGATGGCTGGGGAATATTACTATTATCATTTTGAGCTTCCAAAATTGTGAACATATGAATGTATTACCTATTCAGAAATAAAACTAAATGTATACACACACATCAGAAAGTACCTCCCCAAGGCCCCAGAGCCTGTAAAAGGCACTGATGGGATTTACCAGGCAGTCAGGTCTCCGCTACCAGCCTTTAAGCCCCAGGACTCCCCCACAGTCACAGCCCCCCACCCCCACCTCTATAGGGCAGCAGTCCTGCCTGCCCCTCCATCACAGAAAGGATCAGAAACCCAAGCCCCACCCCCCACCCCCACCCCCAGCCCTGAAGCGCTTCTTTGGGCACTCTTCCCCAGGGCAGCCTGCCCACCTGCCGCTCCAGGAGTGACTGCAACACCAAGAAAGTCTGCTCCTTCCAGGGCAACTCCAAGATCTGTCTGTAAAGCACAGGGCCCAGTGCTGGTTAGCTGGCCTCCCGCCCAAGCCTGGGTATCCACTGCTCCTATCTGAAGGCAGGGCAAGGCCCAGGGGCAGCCAAGATCCCGGTCACCAGAGGAAGGAGTCAGACCCCCCAACTCCAGGTGCTGCCCAGTAGCCACTGTTGCAGAGCCCGTACCCAGTGCTGGGAAGGCCACAACCCAAGACACCAGGAGCTGACAGTGGACTTAGCAGTGGGGTGTACAAAGGTCCCCTGAAAAATAACAAGGAGTCAAGAGCACATTCTGAGTACAAAAGTTGAGGGTGACCCAGGGAACCTAATGATGGGTGACAGGACACACCCGAGCCTCCTGGAGCAGGCACACCTTCCCCATGGGGCCCCACCCACAGCGGGGTCCTCTCCAGCTGTGCTTCCTATCCCACCGCACGGTCCTCAGCTCGTCTGGAAAGGCAACATGTCACACAGGCAGTGTGGCTTCCTGGGGTGGCAGGCTTGGGTTTGATCCCAGCCTTTCTCACTCGCTCGCTGTGTGACCTCTGGACACACCCCTTAACCCCTCTGAGCATCTTTAGGGCAGTGGCAGCACCCACCTCACCAGACGGCATGAAGACTAACCAAGATAATGAACCCAAGCACCGAGACAGTGCTCAACATGTGGAGGCTAATAGTATTTTTGAGACTGTCCCTTACTCACATTATATGCAGAATGTTATATTCATGTCGGTACCCAATGGGGTCTTGCCTTCTCATTATTTCTACATGTCTAGGTGTTGACTCCCCAATTTTAATTCCAATTTAATAACAACTTCTTAGCATTTACTAACTGCCAGGTACTGTACTGACATCTCTATATGAATTATCACATATAGTATCTAGAAAAATCCTACACAGTGAGTATTATCCCCATTTTTCAAATGAAGAAGCTCTGAGAGCTTCTTATATGGAATAACCTGTTTGAATTATACATTTAAAAAAAAAAAGCAAAGTTGAGATTTAAAACCACGCCTTGTCTGACTCCGAGCCAGCACTCCTCACCACAGTGCCAACTTCCAACGACGCTGCGAGCTACTCGAGAGCCGGGACCACCTGTCTCCTCCCCGCATCCCGCAAGGCACCCGGCAGGAAGGCTGAAACCCCTTCGGGCGTGGGAAGAGGCTACTCAGAACAGCAGCCTGCACGGCCCAGTGGGAAGGCACCGATCAGGTTCAGACAACAGCGGGAGGGGCACCTCCAGTCTTTTGGGCACGGAGGCTGGTGCCCAGTGGCTCCAACTCCACAATACCAGGAACAGATGTGGTTGGGGGGGCGGGGGGGAGTAGGAGTGAGGGTGTGGAGGCCTGCACACTCACCCGAGGATTAGAAGCTGCCTGTCTGGCTCCAGGGCCTCGTCCTTCATAAGGCAACACAGTAACTCTGTTTGAGCTGGACCTGGGCGAGAGGCAGCAGAGGGGGAAAGTCTGGACAAAGTGGCAGGAGAGGATGGGACTGCAGGGAACAGAATGCTCGGTTCATTACAGGGCACCATCAGGGAAGTAACAGGTTTTACTCGTTGGATGCCCAGCTCCTGCCAGGGTCACGTGGGGGTGAGGGCTGTTTCCAGAGTTACCTGCTTCTGGGGACCGGAGAACGGGGCCCAGCAGGGCCCTGCAGACGGCGTGGGTGTACTTGGCACAGAAGGAAGTCAGGGAAGTTGTGAGCAGGCGGGAGGCTGAGGAAGTCAGGGAGAGGATCTACAGCCAATGGAGAGGAAAATGCTATTAAATTCATTTCTTCTTGCCTTCCATAAATGTTTAGCAGACACATATTTCAGATGGTGATATATGTTACAGAGGGAAAAAAGTTCTTTTATCTAGGACTCATGTGAACCCACCCACTAGAAAAGACACATAGCTCCCTTCTCCAGGTCCCAAATCCCTGAGCCCAAATCCTTCTGGAATGGTCTGAAGTTCAAGGAGGAATTACATGCCACGTGGTAGAGGGCCCAGGGGCCCACACCCTTCCCTTGTCCCAGGCTGCCTGGACAGGCCAGATACCTGCAAAGCTGGAACACCCTCTCCCAAACATCACATTTCTGAAGGCTCAGACTCTCCCTGCCTGGGCCTGGCAGTCTGAGTGCACCCCGGTGCACCTACCCGTCCAAGGAAGAGGCTCCTGGCCAGCGCAGTAGCATTGCCGAGGCTAAGATCTGGTGACAGGGACTGCAGCCAGGTACAGAGCTGCAGAAGACCTGTGTCCGACAGCTGGGGGATCTGCAGCCGGGCACACAGCAGGTCCATCTGCCGAGCAGGAGGGAGGACAGAGGGGCATTCCATGTGCCTCTGCTAGGCTGTCTCAGGCCAACTGGACAGCAGAGGGGCAGGGTGAGGACACCCAGGGCCAGGTAAGGCTGGGAGAGCTGCTCCATGAGGTGGAGTCAAGGGCTAAAAAAACCACTCAGGGTGACCCCCGCTTGAGAAACAAACAAAAAAAATCCCCTACCAAAATGCCACAGGAGGCAGGGATACATGAAGTTAAATGGAAGGGCTGGGGAGAGGGGATGTAACCTCAGGTCCAGGCAGCCTTTCTGGACTCACCTGGCTGGGACTGCATTCATGGAGAAGCTGCAGTTCAACTGGGGGGCCACTCTCCAGCCTCTCCAACCCCTGGGAAGGCAAACCCTGCGTCAGGGCTGGCAGAGTGCTTGATGACAAGTCACTGAGGCCACCCCTTCAACTGGAGTGGGTGGCTGAGGACTCGGGAAGGTGCTACCAGACAACGTATTTATACTGGGGCCCAGACATGCCCTGCAGTGACTGCTCCCGGATCTTCAGTACAAACGCCCTGTGCCTCACTGCACCGCGTCCTCCCTGAGCATGGCTGGGCTCCAGGAAGGTGAAGGGCTATGGTGAACAGGGGAGGGCCACTCACCTCCCCGAAGGTCTTGAGCACCTTCTGCAGCCTGGGAACCTGGTCCTGTAGAGGAGAGTCAGTCACTGCCAAGTCCCTACCCATATGGTAGGGCTTCAAGCCCAGCCTCAGCTCCCTTTCTTAAGACCCCAAATTGGAGGGAGCTAGTAGGCAAAGATGACTCAAGAGTGCCAATAACATAAAGCCTAAACCTTAAAAAGAGCTTAAGAACTCAAAGTAGACACAGACTGTGCAAATCCAGCTGTCTAGACTTGTCTTCTCTGCATCCACCCCAATGAGGGTAGACCCAGGCCTTGGGCTGGGAGGGCAGGCTGGGTGGCTCTGGAGCCACTCCTCTTGGCTGGTACCCTTTAACCTCAAGTTATAGATCATTAGGGCAAGGGCTTCCCACCTCCCTTAACTCCCTTCCCCAGAATCTGTAGAGCAGACTACACATGCCCTTAACCCCACCCTCCCGCCCCTTGCTCCACAGACAAATTGAGAAAGCGTCCCAACCAGCTTTTGCCCTGGATAAACCCCCTACTCCAAAGGGTCACTCTAAACCTAGCCTCCTCACCCTTGTACCTGGATAGCTTTTGGCAACTCCAAACTCTCAGCTGGTCCCTTTGCATCCTCCAGACTCTGGCCAGCCTCAGTGGGCTCAGCTTCCACGACAGGTTGGTTCTTAATGGGTGATGTGCCTCCTCCACCTGCCGGAGTTTCCAAAGGCTCACGTCCCACTCTCTCCTCCTCATAATGTTCTTCTTCTTCGCTTTCCAAACACCGGAACCTTTTGGGGGCCCTCTCCCTCTCAGGGCTGGCAGGCTCTTCTGGCTCCTTTCTGCGTTTCCTAGGCTGCTGGGAGTCCTTGTCCTCTTCTTTTTCCTCTTCAGCGTCTGGAGACTGGGCCAACTTCAACCTCCTGCCCCCAGGGCCCAGATGCCTACACAGGTCTCGGAGCTGCGTCTGGCAACTTTTAGACAGTGGGGACGCTCCCTCAATGGAGACCCCAACACCCAGGTCCCTTTGCAGCAATTTCCCCAGGGCCTGGAGCCAGGCATCAGGGTCAGGGCTTGGGTCCTGCCGTAGGACCTGCAGCAGAGGGAGCAGTCTGTTTTCAGGGAGCGATGGCCTAACAGCCATCAACAGGGACATCAGGTTCCGCTGGCATAACACGGGCAATCGCAGCAGCAGCGGTTTCCTGAGTAGCAGAGGGAGGCAAGCAGTTAAGGGTTTTGCTGAAAGGAACTCAGGGCAGGCTGTGCAGAGCTAGAGGCTAGATGGGAACGGACAGATGGGGGGCTGGGAGGTACCCGTGAGTCAGTGTGGAGGGAGGGGGACAGCACGAGTCACCCAGCAAGTGTTCACTGAGCATCTGCTATTCTATGCTGGGCCCTGCTCTTTGACACTTCCTAGTTCAGCTCAAAAATTCATTTGTTTTACATAAAAAAGAAAAAAGTCCTTGCCCACACTTTATGTAAAAATACTCCAAGATGCTGTGCAAGACTGTGGCCCTGTGCTCCACTTGGCACTCCCTTGAAGTCACAGTGACATCTGCCCAGCCCTGATGTTCCACACACCAAAATGAGTTCCGGGAGGTGGACAGTATGTCTCCTTCCTGTGTCCCAGTACCCAGCATAGCACCACCCCTAGCAGGCACTTGGTACGCATTCACTGAATGAATTAACCCTGACAATAAGTGTCCAGATACAAGCAAGGGCTGCTGAGGACACAGCAATGTCACCATCTATAATGTTGTGAAGGCACAAATCCAAATGCTGGGTGACCCGAGGTTTATTGGGGTGGCAAGTCGTGGGAGCAGCTAGCCCATCACCCATCAGGCCTCTGCCCCTCTCTATGCACGGCTTTGAAGAGCTGTTCAACATCACACACACAGGTTCTTGGATGTGTATGAGAGGAAAAAAAGCAACTTTCTTTGTGGAAAACAAACACTAAGTGAGAGAGAAAACTAGAGTATAGGTTTAAAAAAATGGTCAATTTGTGGTGAAGGATATTTGGGAGTAGAGGTGAGAACGACCCTATTTAAAAGGCTTTTAGCCTTTTTTTTGTACATGGACCCCCTTATCAGAACAAATGTTAAATGTATAAAACAAAATACATATGGTTACAAAAGAAACCAATGATACTTAAGTACAGTTCTATCCAGGGACCTTAGGTTAAGTTCCCCCTCCCCTTACTCTGTCCAGAAAAAGCCAGACAGCTGGAAAGCATTTCTATAGCCTCCAAATTGGGGGTTTTGAAAGTGCTCCTGATCCATCTATTGAAATAAATTTAAAGAGGACTGTGTGAAGAAAATATAAGAACTTATGTTTTGACTTACCTAAAACACAAGAAATTAAGTATTGCCAATATTTAATGTGTGGGTTGGCCCTGACCCCATTCTGAGGCAGGGGTTTCGGAGAGCGGAAGGCGGCTCTTCACACCCCTAGAGGCTGCAGGTGGCACTCAGTTTTTAACTTTCCCTGTATTTTAGTTAACGTTAACAGTTAAATGCATTAGACTGTCTTGAGTACAACATTAACTCTTTTTAAGAAAACGGAACCTTCACAAAACGGACACAGGGCTTATAAGGCTGCCTGAAAAGAAAGTGAATACCAGTAATGGAATCACAACCAAGTAGGAAAATGGCAGGGTTGACACCTCTGCACCTAGTAGGAATAGTCAACCACATAAAGAGGCAAAAAAGAAAAGTTCAAATTCACCCAAAACTAGAAATAATCAAGAACACCATCTGTAAGGAAAGTGATGTTGCCGCAAAATGTATGTTACGCTTTGAAAAAATTAAATAATACAAAGCCACCACAGCCAGATGTTTGTCATTTATCTCATTTTAAATTTCAATTTTTGTATACGTTATAATGTACGTACTTTAACACGTGTACACTTTGTACTTAAGTATGCCTATATTGAAGGTATGAGTTCAATTTTTCAGAGATGGAATGTACGATCAAGATCGATCTGAGCCCACTGACATAATTAATTTACACCCAGCCGGAGGCGAGTCGCGTCCAGGTACGCGGCACTGGCCAGCACACAGTAGGTACGAAATACCTCCGGGTGCGCGGCAGGGACCCTCTCGCTGGGGGAATTAACCGCACCAAGCCTCGGACTCCTCCTCTGGAGAAGGGAGGAGGCGCCAGCCCCTGCCTCACCGACAGCGGAGGGTGAAATGCGGCGTAGTGCGCTCCGCCAGCGGCCAACCGGACCACTTACAACTGCAGCCGACAGTCCGGGCCCTCCGTGACCGCCTCCTCCCGGCACAGCGCCTCCAGGACGCGGCCCCAGGCGAAGGGCTCTCCGTCGCGGCTGCCCAGCACCCGCAGAACCCCCAGGCCGCGCCGCGCCCCGTCCGGCCCCGCCTGCAGCGCCTGCAGCAGGAGGCGGGCGGGGGCCTCCAGCTGAGCCCAGGGCGCCAGTTCCGAGCTCTCATCCCGAGCGGGCGCCGAGTCCCGGGATGCCATGCCTGGGACCCGCGTCGCCTCCCCTCCCGCCCACCCGCTCAGGTTCTGTTTCGGGCCTCAGCTCCAAGGCCTGGAGAAAGCGAGGACTCCAGTACTCGCCCGGACGCCGCGGCAGGGACCTTCCCGCGCCCGCCACAATTCCTCCTCAGGGCTCAAAACGTGGGCGCTGCAGCCCTTGAACTGCATGCTGTAAAAAACAGAAAGAAGCGAGAAGCCCGCCCGGTTGCGCCGCGCAGGGGCGGCCGGAAGGGGCGGGGCCAGCAAGAGCGTAAAGGGAAGGGAGTAGGGGGAACTCGGAAGGCGGAGGAGGGCGTGTCTCTGGAACAAAGTGGGCCACAGCGAAGGGGGTCTGTTGTGGGTGCGGTCACACCAAAGAGAGTGAGGCAGGGCGGGGCTTGATGGAGGGGCGGATCCTCGGCTGCGGTCCTTAACTGTCCTCCACTGAGAACGGGGGTGCACAAAGGGCGTCAGGGATCCCGTTGTACTTCGGGATCCAGCCATCATTTAATTTTAGTTGACGCCCATGTTGCTTGTAGATCATGAGCGATGAGATGGCCTTTGATCACATTTACCACCCCACCATAACGTCACCTGTTTCACAGGCTATCAACTGCTGTCATTTAGGTTTTAGTCCTCTCTAGAAATATTTGATGTACGAATATCCCTGATAATGGGGTCGCAGTAAAAGCTAACTCCCTCTATGTAACCAAAAGTCTTGCTTGGAACTTCCTCCTAAAGGCAAGAAGCAGTCTTGCTCTGATTGTTTATATGGGGCCGGACTGGCTCCACCTCTCAAGGTTTCAGTTGAAAGAACTTTGTTAGAGGAGGCAGGCTTCAGCAAAAGGAGGTGCAATCTTGTGATTTCTAAGAAATACATGTAGATATTTGTTCATTCAAATGACTGAAAGTTACGCGGCAGACATACTTGGTCTTCCACAGTTCCTAATTTATAGCTCCCAACCCCCTTGAAATTTCTGAAGCCGCAGGAGTTCGTGTTATGTTAATGAGGCGACTTTTGGATCCCACCCAATAGGAGCCAATGGTGTGGTTAGACAAACTTTCAGTTCCACCCCCTGATTGGGGGTATCAAGGGGGCAGTGCTTGAGGTTGAATTAATCATCAGTGACCAATGAATTAGTCAATCATGACTTCCTAAATGAAGCCTCCACAAAACCTAAAAAAGAATACCTCCTGGGCCTTCTTCCTTGAGCTTCCACGTTGAGGAACCAGAACACTTCCACCTTGCTGGGCCCCAAACTCCAGGAGGCAGAAGCTTCTTACTTTGGGACCTCATTCTATGTATCTCCTCACCTGGCTGTTCATTCGTGTTATTTAATTCCTTTGCTAATAAATCGGTAATCTAGTGAGTATACAGGTTTTCTTGAGTTCTGTGAGATGTTCTAGCAAACTAATCGAACTCAAACAAAGGGTCTCAGGGCCCTCTGTTGTGAATCTGGTGGGTCAGAAGCACAGGTAACAGCATGGGTTTGCACGAACTGGCCTCTGAAGTGGAGGGTGGGACCGAGCCCTTTACCTGTGGAATATGATTCTAACTTCTCAAAGATGGTGTCAGAATTGAGCTGAACTCTCCATCTCTGCTGTCCTCCAAGAATTGCTTGGTGTGGGGAAGCTTCCACACATCACACGCTGGAACTGAGTCCTGGGATCCTTTCAGGAGGGATCACAGTGTGCAGGGTAGGGATAAAGGGAGAGGGGACAGGAGCCCCACAGCACTCCGTAAGCCCTTCTTTGGGTATCACCTTGTATTTCCCATCATCTGAACTTCAGCTGCTACACACACACATCCATTCATTCAGTAAATCTTTTTTTCCTTCCTAGAGTTCTGATGTGGACCCCCGTTTCTGGGGTCTACCACACAGAACAGTTTCCTATATAGTTCTACATTTTTAATTTAATCTTTATTGTATTTTTTCCATTACCATTTAGCCCCCTTATACCCCCTCCCTCACAGTAGTCACCACCCTGTTGTCCATGTCCATGAGTCCTTTCTCTTTTTGCTCAATCCCTCCACCTCTTCACCTACCCTCACCCCACTAGCTGTCAGCCTGCTCTCTCTGAGTCTGTCTCTATTTTGCATGTTAGTTCTGTTTGTTCATTAGATTCCACACATGAGTGAAATCATATGGTATTTGTCTTTTCTGATTGGCTTATTTCACTTAACATAATTTTCTCCAGGTCCTTCCATTACTGTTGCAAAGGGTAAAATTTTTCTTCCTTTTTTAGGGTCGAGCAGTATTCCATTGTGTAAGTGCTCATAGTTGTTTTATCCACCCATCTATTGATGGACACTTGGGCTGCTTCCATATCTTGGTAATTGTAAATAATGCTGCAATGAACATGGGAGTGCTTATGTTCTTTCAAATTAGTTTTTTGGGTTCCTTTGGATATATTCCCAGAAGTGGGGTCAAAAGGCAGATACATTTTTTAAAGATTTTATTTACTTACTTTTAGAGAGGGGAAGGGAAGGAGAGAGGGAGAGAAACATCAGTATGTGGTTGCCGCTCACATGCCCCCTTTTGGGGACCTGGTCTGCAACCCAGGCATGTGCCCTGTCAGGGAATCGAACTGGTGACCCTTTGGTTCACAGGCCAGCACTCAATCTAATGAGCCACACAAGCCAGGGCTCATTTTTAATTTTTTAAGATATCTCCATACTGCTTTCCACAGTGGCTGCACCAGTCTGCATTCCCACCAACAGTACAAAAGAGTTCCCCTTTCTCCACATCCTCACCAGCACTATTTTATTTTATTTTATTTTATTTTATTTTATTTTATTTTATTTTATTTTATTTTTATTTTTGAGAGGGGAAGGGAGGGAGAGAGAAACATCAATGTGTAGTTGCCTCTCGTGCTCCCCCAACCAGGGATGCGACTTGCAACCCAGGCATGTGCCCTGACTGGGAACTGAACTGGTGACTCTTTGGTTCACAGGCCAGCACTAAATCCACTGAGCAACACCAGCCAGGGCTGTTTTTTGATTTCTTGATGATAGCCATTCTGACAGGTGTGAGATAGTATCTCATTGTGATTTTTATTTGCATTTCTCTGATGATTAATGGCACTGAGGGTCTTTTCATGTGTTTATTGGCCATCTGTATGTCCTCTTTGGAGAAGTGTCTATTTAGGTCCTTTGCCCATTTTTTAATTGGGTTGTTTGGTGTTGAGTTTTGTAAGTACTTTATAAATTTTGGATATTAACCCCTTATCAGATGTATTGGTGAATATGTTCTCCCATTCTGTGGGTGCTCTCTCGCTCTCTCTCTCTCTCTAAGATTTTATTTATTTTTAGACAGAGGGGAAGGGAGGGAGGAAGAGAGGGAAACATCATTGTGTGGTTGTGTATCACACGCCCCCTACTGGGGACCTGGCTTGCATCCCAGGCATGTGCCCTGACTGGGAATTGAACTGGCAACCCTTTGGTTCTCAGGCTGGCACTAAATCCACTGAGCCACACCAACCAGGGCTGTGAGTTGTCTTTTTATTTTGCTGATGATTTCCTTTGCTGTGCAAAAAGTTTTAATTTGATGAAGTCCCATTTGTTTATTTTTTCTTTTGTTTCTCTTGCCTGGGGAGATATATCTGATAAAAAAAATTCTATGAGCAATGTTTGAGATTTTGCTGCCTATGATTTCTTCTAGGATTTTTATGGTTTGGGGTCTAACATTTAAGTTTTTGATCCATTTTGAATTTATTCTTGTGTGTGGTATAAGAAGGTGGTCTGGTTTCATTTCTCTGTATGCATCTGTTCAGTTTTCCCAACGCCATTTATTGAATAAATTATCTTTAGCTTTTATGTGCTTTGTATGTGCTTGCTTCCTCTGTCAAATACTAATTGACTTTTAAAGTGTGGGTTTATTTCTGGGCTCTCTGTTCTGTTCCACTGATCTGTCTGTCTGCTTTTATGCCAGCACCATGCTGTTTTCATTACTATAGCCTTATAGTAACATTTCATGTTAGGTAGTGTGATTCCTCCAACTTTGTTCTTCTTTCTCAGGATCCCTAATGCTATGTAGGGCCTTTTGTGGTTCCATATAAATTTTTGAAATAGTTGTTCTAGTTCTGTGAAATACATCATTAGAATCTTGATAGGAATTGCATTGGATCTATAGATTGCTTTGGGTAGTATGGACATTTTAATGATGTTAATTGTGCCTATCCATGAACATGGCATGTGCTTTCACTTATTTGTATCTTCTTCAATTTCTTTCTTCAGTGTCTTATAATTTTCTGAGTACAGGTCTTTTACATACTTGGTTAGGTTCATTCCTAGGTATTTTATTCTTCTTGTAGCAATTGTGAATGGGATTATTTTCTTAATTTCCTTTTCTGTTAGTTTGTTATTGACATATAAAAATACAACTGACTTCTGGATATTAATTTTATATCCTGATACTTTGCTGAATTCATTTATCAGTTCTAGCAGTATCTTGGTGGACTCCTTGGGGTCCTCTTTGTATAGTGTCATGTTATCCACAAAATAGGCAGTTTTACTTCTTCCTTTCCAATTTGGATACCTTTTATTCCTTCTTCTTGACTGATTGCTGTGGCTAAGACTTCTAGTTATATTTTGAATAAGAGAGGTAAAAGTGGACATCCCTGTTTTGTTCCCAATGTTAAGGGAACCCTTGTAATTTTTGCCCATGGAGTATGATGCTGGTAGTGGGTTTGTCATACATGACCTTTGTTATATTCAGGTATGTTCCCTCTATTCCCACTTTGCTGAGTTTTTATCATAAATGGGTGCTGGATTTTATCAAATGCTTTTTCTGCATCTATTAATATGATCATGTGGTTTTTAATCCTTCATTTTGTTTACATGGTGAATGTCATTTATTGATTTGTGAAAGTTGTACCAACCTTGCATCCCCAGAATATCGTTCAACACGTCGTTACTGTGCACCTAGAGCTGGGGGTACAGGGAACAAAACAAACACCCTTGCTCGCATTGTTGTTGACACTCAAGTGTGGAGACACAGATAACTAAATGAGTAAATAACAGAATGTTTCATTGTGACAGTTCTTTTAAGAATATAATAGGGAAGGGAGAGGTAATTTTAAATAGGTGGTCAGGTCTGTGGGGAGACCATTTTAATCAGTGGGAAGAGCAAATGCAAAGGCCCGGGGGCAGAAATGTGGCTGGAGTGTAATAAGAAATAAGATCAGAGAAATAGCCAGATCTATGAGGTTTTGTGGTCATAGAGGGGAACTTGGCTTTTCCTCTG